GGAAACCTTGTCCGCTGAAGGGTGGTAACCATCTGGAGTCTCCGGATTGACGTCCGCTAGGACCGGAATTAATGCCATATGGTGCCGGTCTACCACCCGAATTGAAATTATTGCGCACTGGGCCTCCGCCGTAACCCTGTTGATAACCACCACCGAAATTGTCATTGCTCCAATTACCGCCACTGTTGTAGCCGCCCTGTCCACCTTGGTTCCATCCACCCCCTTTAAAATACAATAATTAGCAGCTTTTTTTAACATCTCCATTATTCGAAATAATGAAATACTATTATGCTATTCCACTTTGCGGCAGAGACAATGTTTAGTTTTTATTATTAGTGTAATAACATTTCAATTATCAAATACTTTGTAATATTGTATAACATTGATAGAGAAATAATTTTGTTATTGTATTAATTTCTCTCTCTCTCTCTCTCTCTCTCTCTCTCTCTCTCTCTCGCTCTCTCTCTCTCTCTCTCGCTCTCTCTCTCTCTCTCTCGCTCTCTCTCTCTCTCTCTCTATGTTTTATGAACCTTTTTTTTTTCAAGTTTATTCTATGCTTATTTCAGTAACTTTTTATCATGTTATACAACGTTATTCTTTAGAATACAAAGTCTCTGCGCTGCAATTACTTGACCCTGGCATGATTATCTTACAGAATTATCAATACATAATTTAAAGCATATTACGTACCACAAGAGAAAAAAAGATCAAATAAACTCTTTAATCCATTTACATATTTATACTCTTTTTCTTTATGCATTGAAGCCAATTCTCAAATATGATATTATTAAATACAATATAACATCATTAATGCAAGGGTCAACTCAGTTCTAAAAGGAATAAGAAGACAAATATCTTTCAGCAAACCTTTACCTTGATTCTGATTCTCCCAAGGTCCATTACCCCCCCAACCTCCTTGATTACCTCCACCGTATCCACCCTGATTACTGCCATTGTTCCAGTCACTACCACCGCCACCGCTGCCGCGTCCTCCCCAGCTACCACCGCCTTGGTTACCACCACGGGGTCCTCTGCCTACACCTTGGCCACCACGGCTGCCGCCGCCACCGCCACCGCCGCCTCCAGAAGCAGATGCCATTTCCGCTCTGCTTAGAGCCTGTAATAAAAATTATTACGTTAATAAAAATATAATAATTAGCTATTTAGCTAATTCAACATCAGATTCTTATATCTGTATTCTACTTGAATTGTGAATAATTTTTGAAGATATATATTTTTTCACCTTTTTCACATCAACATGCTTGCCGCGAATCTGATGATTACGCTGTAGACAGATCTTGTCGACAGGATCATAGTCATCAAATTCGACAAAGCCGAATCCGCGTTTTTTGCCAGTCTCCTTGTCAGTCACTATGCTGATCGAGTTTATGCTACCGTAGCTTTGAAAATATTGTCTGAGATCTTCTTCTTCATGGTCATCCTTTAAACCACCAACGAAGAGTTTCTTTACAGTAGCTCCAGCTTCTGGTCGACCTATTTCTTGCCTAGGGACTGCTCTTTTGGGCTCAACCACTCTACCGTCTACTCTATGAGGCCTGTAAACATTTTTTAATCTCTTATATAAACTCACTTTCTCATAACTAATAGGAAATAAAGTCCTATTGTCACTTTTTTAGACAAAATAAATAAAAGAATCAATTTATGCAAAGAAACAAATTATATAAATAGGAGCTAACATCTTTTTACAATCTTGTGCGAATCCTCTTTTTACCTAGCATTCTGAGCATCATCCACCATATGAGCACGGGAATAAGTAATAAAACCAAAACCTCTTGAACGCTTAGTTTTGGGATCTTTCATAACCACCACATCTACGATCTCTCCCCATTGCTCAAAGTGCTTCTTAAGCGAATCATCCGTTGTTCTATAATCCAAGCCGCCAATAAACAATTTTCTAACGTGTTCTGGCTCATTTTTACCATCCTGAAATATTAAACAATGTTCTAAATTATCATTAAAATTCCTTAATCACAAAATAATTACATATAGCTTTGCCTATAAATACAATATAAAGCATCTTCAATTTGTTCTTTCAAGAGTACTGGCAGCAATAAAAGTTAAAGGAGAAAAATTAACAAGATAATAAAATTGTTATAAAAATAAATATTTCATTTTTTGTTAGATATATAAAACATTTATATCAATATTTTTATATTTGCGATATATTGTTTTATATTCTTTATATTTTGTATGTGTATATATATATATATATATATATATATATATATAATATATGTATACATGTAGAGCTATTGAAGAATTAAGGACAAAATTAAACATATTAAAATATTTTATAACAGCTAAAATAGGTTTTTTTACGAAATACATTATTAATAAAATGAAGCTTGCAGCGCATCCAAATACAGCAATAGTAATACAGTAATAGTAATAAATTGCTCTTTTTTTATAATATCCTATTTACTTTATATTTGGATTCAACATACTTATCCAAGATACATATTATGGCATTATTTGAAATAGATTTCGAGCAAAATTCATTACAAATAATTCCACAATATCCTCTCAGATTTGGTCTTGGCTCCATTTCTATCGATGCAGATCAACTTCAATCTTGATTATGTACTTTTCATTTTTTTCTAATCTGTATAATTACAAAAAAAAAGATAAAAAGAAAATTAAACCGCGAGTTGTAAAGTTAATTTACATTGATATAAATGGACTTTAATTGCTTCAGATTAATTCATTATAAAATTCTGTCGAAATATTCATCATTAAATTTGGATTAAAAACGCCAAGTTTTGCCTTTGAAATATTTCACAAGCTATATCGCTATTGTGATTTCTTCTTCTTCTTCGTCTTTAATTGACCCTTGTCCTCAATGAGATTTACTTGGCCAGTCCACAAATCGAGATGTAGTAAAACAAATTCAAAAATTGAAATGCAATGCACCGGCCCTCTCAAAAACCAAACCGGGCAGATAAAATAAACAAGACGATGCAATCAAAGTAAAAATGGAATGCGCCCCTCAGATACTGGGCGCTTACGACTACGACGCGTGTTCAGACGAATAAAGGGACAATTGGTAATGCGATACAAGATACAATTGTACGATCGAAGCCGGCCACACGCTTTTCAAAAATGTAATTGAGACGATATGAAACACACGAAGCGAGACGAGACACATGTCTAACCAGCTCGAGCGATTTTACGCTTACGAGATTCACCTCTTGTGATACCGTAGCGAACATCGGCATGGCAAACATTCCCGACATTGTCGAAGTATCTTGGAGTAATACTCGACAACACGAGTGTCGGGGGAATGACCAAAGCGTTTCATACTGAACAACTAGCGATAAAGAATTGACTACAGCAAGGTAGATACTTACATCATGTTCCATCTTCACCATTTTGAGGGAATTAAATAGAATACAGAGTCTCGTGAAACTCGTAGAACAGGGTAAAACGCGAGTCGATAGCAAATGATGGAAGGAAGGACGCTATCACGACACGATCGATTTCTATTCCCTGCGCGCACTCATGTGAACCCCGGGCAAGTTGTCCAATATCCAATCATTTGCTCGATTCGCACTGGATCAGATGTGTGTGTCGTACGATGTTCTGCAACCAATCAGAAAGCAGAATTTTATTTCGTATCGATGGCTTAGTTTTCACCCAGGGTTTAAACCGGATTAGAATGTAAGAATCAATTACGTCGAGTATTCCCTTGTTATGCCTAATTCACACTAGATGCAGCAAGAGTCAAGCAGCGGAGCAGCAACCAATCAGTGAGGCGATATTTACAGTGCCGCAAACAATATCGCCTCACTGATTGGTTGCTGCTCCGCTGCTTGACGTTTGCTGCGTCCAATGTGAATTAGGCATATCGCTTGCTGCGTCAGTGTGAATTAGACATTACAATCAAATGACAGGTAAATGCTCAACTATAGTTGATTGGTTCTTATATTCTGATCCGGTTTAAATCTTCGGTCGAAACTAGGCTAATGATTACATTTTTCGACTCCAAATATAACCGCGTAAAAGTGATGCATGAAAATGCGTATTAAAACTGCTCTCTATAAATCACGGATTTTCGAGATTTGAGCGTATTCACATAATATCGAAAAGTAAAACTGGATGAACAGTTTTTTATCACCCAGCAGCGATTAAATCTAGAATTTTTAAATATAATCATATACAAATAATACACGGAAATGTATATGAAATCCGGAGACTACCTGTTGTTAAGGATTTTCAACCCTCACCATGTTCACAAATGTATGAAAGCGTACAATAATTGGATCGCCAGTTTGAATCCGCTATCGAAAAAGGATCTTTTTTCGAATATAATCGTATATAAATAATACATAGAATTTGCATATGACACCAGATGTTTACTGTATACTTACTTATATACACGCTTATACGTATCAGTCTCTGAAATTCCGTTTATTACCCGTTTTTAATTGAATATAAATTTCCATGCAATTATAGATTAATCTTTTATTGAGAAATCTATAATAACGACTAATTTAAACATGTACTAATTTAAATACTTACATAAACCGGATTATATTATTTCCTGATAAAAACCAATAAACTTTGTGTCATAAATTCCTTGCATGTTCTAACGTATTTGGAATTGCGGATGTTAACAGACAACATTTTTATCTGAGAATCCAATTATGTACTATGAAATGGAAATGCTTATATAACCAGATTTAATATTTACTTGGATGGATTTTATGCCAGTTAAAGATTGATTTGTCCATGTCTATCCTGATGTGAACGCGCGTATATACTTTTTATCTGGACGTAACTGGAATTTTTAGTAGGAATTTTCAATTCGAGGAAACCTCAGTTAGAAAAATATACTATCATCATACTATAAACCTGCAAAAAAGAAGTTGAATGAAAGATAAGATTTACTTTTATCGACATTTTTACAGCTTTTATCACCCTCCGAACATAAACAACTCTTACTAACGAATGACTAAAAATTGAAGTCATACAGTGTTCGATTGAGGAAGATCTTCTCACGTTCATCATTTTGTTTCAATTTCTTGTGTATATAAGTGAGAGATTTTATTGTTCATATAATACGTACGTATTTTCTGATTAATAATTATTACATGTATATACAATATGTAAAGATATTTTATTAAAATTTTAAAAAGAACTAGCCAATATTAACGTAACATGGAGAGGAGCTGATAAATTTTACATATATAATAAACTATTTTTTCACTTCACTTATTTATTCTATTTATTCTATTAAAGGATAGAATTCTTTCAACTTTCCATATGTATATATGTACAATATAAATATATACATAAGGAAAGAAAATGGACAGAATCCATCTTGTAAAAAATGGCGGGAAGAAATAAGCTCCTTTTTTTACCTACATAATTCTTTTTTGAAAAATATTTCCAAGATTTTTTGTTACTGGATTATCGCGGATTTAATAAAAGAATGTTTACTTTAACTGTTGCGTTAAAAATCATCTTACCGTAATTGAAAAACAGATATTCTTACTCTATATTTTGTATGGCGTGTAATGGCCAATTTTCTATATAGACTTAATGCAAATGAAGTAGCACGAATTTTTCGCTACAAACTTTTGTTCGGTTTTAATATATTATATAAAAATATCCATATATATATATATAAGGATCTGCTGTTCTATCTAATCTTGTTTGGATTTATCCATCGTTAGTTTGGTAGATAATGATATTTCAAAGATAACTATGGACTATGACATACATGAGAGATCGTCTGCTTGAAACAGAATGCTGTAGAGAAATGAAACGGTGCGATCACGAAGAAGTGATTCTGTGAAGCTATATGTGTTCAAACCCAAAGATGACCTGCTCTAGCCTATGTAGCTGGCCAATCTTCAATTCACTGGAACCGAAATTCGTCTCCCAGATTCATATGGTTTTTGTATACGGTAACTCGCCTTATTTCCTTTATGTATTCGTTTTGGCAATGTTTATCTTTCAACTTGAAACAGGTACGTTGGGGAATGAGGCCTTAATCGTGACGAAGGACAAGATGGTGTATGGCCTAGGTAAAAACGTCAACGGTTGTTTGGGAATCGGGGACAAAGATGCCACACTAAAACCACAAAAAATAGAGGCTCTATGTGGAAAAGATATAAAGACGTTCGCGTATGGCGTTGGACCTCATGTTTTGGCGCTCACAAAAGAAGGAAAAGTAAGAAGTTGCTGGCAAGTTATATATTGAAGTACAAGTGAATGTTTAATTTTAGGTGACACCTCATCGATTTCAATGTCCTTTAGATATGTTTTATAATTCCATTAAAAAAAATAGAGGTGACCTTCATATCTTTTTGACGACGCCTCCACCTAGAAGGAAGACAACATGACCAAAACACATCTTCCTTAAAACCATTCCATCTTTCATTCTAAACATTTTTTCCTATCTTTAAAACTATGGGTTGTTATTCGGGTGGCTACTTTTAAATGACTATTCTGTAGTATATAAAAAAACATTTAGATTATTTCTTTTCTTTAGTGTTCTTTATCGATGCATATAGCAATTTATAATAATTGCCAGAAATTTTATGAAATCACGAAATCAGCGACGCATTTGCAAGACGTTATAATGAATGATAACATTGTCTTCAAAAGGTATATTCTTGGGGTTCCAACAATCGTGGTCAACTTGCACAATGTGTGAATAAAAGGAGTGCTCTGCAAGTTATCAGTATACCTACTCTAGTGCAACTGGCTACTCCAGAAGGCAGCCTGAGCATGAAACGCATTATGAATATCGCGTGTGGCAGTAATCATTCAGTCGCTATAACCGAGGATGGCGAGGTAAGCAAACTGTCAAAGTCCGTTAACAATAACCCTCTATTTCTACAAGCTAAGTGCTACCTGATTTGATTTAGGTTTATATGTGCGGAGATAACCATTATAATCAACTAGGAGATATTGAGAACAGATATTTTAACTCACCTAACAATGAGTATTTGTTTAGACCTCAATTAGTAAATGACAATTTAGATAGAAAGAAGATTGTCCACGTCTCCTGTGGCGGGACATTCACCATAGCTATTACTAAAAGTCGTGAGGTGTATAGTTGGGGCAATAATTCTTTTGGCCAAATAGGGATAAGAGAAAATTACGACAGAAGAAAAACGCCGCAGCGGGTCGATTTAAAGGAAGGCCTCATCGTAGGTAATTTTCGTCTCGATAAAGAGAAGGGGATGACAAAGTGAAACGGAATTATTAAACAATCGTTTTATTTCAGTCAAAGTGGTCTGTGGAATCGAGCACACGTTGGCACTCACAGACGACAAGAAGATCTATGCTTGGGGCAGAAACGATGACGGCCAATTAGGGATCGGCAGCAAAACGACTTCCTGTAAACCAATCATGGTAAACTTATTTTATACTTATATTATAAAAAACAAAGGGCAAGGAAAAAAAGGAAAGGTCATTTCATCATCAGTAATTGTATTATCAGATTAAGCACGAAACGGGGATAAAATGGGTTGACATCGCAGCTTTGAACTGCAGTAACATAAGCGTCGCCGTCAGTGAAGAAGGACGTGTCTACGTATGGGGTAACTGCCATGGTGAAAGTATCGTGACCCCAACTGTTACTCCGTTCTCAAACATGCATGATGCAATTGCGCGCTATGGGCCCAGCGTTATGCACGAACCACTGATTCTGTATGCGAACGGAGAGCCGGGCATATTAGAAAGTTTGAAAACTGCTTTCAATGATTCCGTATGTATATATCTTATTCCTAATTATCTGTTTGTTGTGAAATGTTCAATATTGAGAATAGGAAAATGCAAGTGAAACAAATAGATCTAAAGTTTTTTCGGCTAAACTTCTTCGCAATATTGCTACATTGTTATACTTAAAATAAAATTGAACAACTGATAAATCTTAAACAATACATATATGTAGTGGTTAAGATTTATCCTTTTTTGTTCAGTCTTGTTTTAAATATGATGTTATTGTCTTGTGATATGATGTATTTGTCTTATCTTTTTAAAAGAAATTTCTAAAAACTTCTTTATGGATGAAAAAAAATACTGAAACACTGAGGATGAAAACTTTGATTGGTAAAAACTGCGTAATACAGTTTATTCTAGAATAATTGCTAAATATAATAAGTACTTTATGTACCAAGCTAATATTGTATATATTTGTGTTTAACAACTTTTTCTCTCTTGATAATGTAGTCAACGAGCGATCTCAAAATACAAGTGGAGGGCCAAGATATCCACGTGCACAAAGCAGTTTTAAGAATCCGCTCTTTACATTTTAAAACCATGTTTCAGCACAATTGGAAAGAAAACAACCAAAGGTAACAAAAGATGTTATTTATGTTTAAAAATTTTCAAGTTTTGCTCATTTCATCGATATTCTTTCCGATAGTATTATCAAACCTGTTCAATTTTCCTACACTGTCTACAAAGCCTTCCTGAAGTATTTATATACCGATGTAATCGATTTACCTATAGAGAAGACATCAGGTAAGTCGACTACATTATGTGTGCGATCTTCGACCTATTCTCATAATTGAAGCAACATTTTTCGTTACAGAACTTTTGGATCTAGCCGAGGAATACTGCGAGAGTAATCTTAAGCAGCACTGCATTCATATGATAAAGCAAGGGATTACTATATCAAACGTCGCACACTTTTATGCAATTGCAGTGAAGTGTAACTTACAGGTAATCAAACATTATCACTATTAACACTCATTAATGTATAATGCTCATTAACATTTCATTAAAGTGTATGTTATCTATTAACGTACATGCAATAATTGAATGTTGTTGTCGATTTTTTTAGGAGCTAGAAAAATTTTGTGTCAAGTTTGCCATTAATCACATGTCTGCTGTGACGCAGACAGATGATGATTTCGCCGAACTGATCCAGAAAATGATGAAAACATTTATAATGACGGCAGGCAAGGTTGGTGATTTCAAGAAATAATCCCGTCTATATTTGCCTCTAAGGTGAATGCAGATCAGTGAGGAATGGAAATTACTGATCCGACTGTTGCTACAGTTATATTTTGTGATATATTTTATAATTTTATATCAAAATATTTCGACATTTTGTTTATTGCATTTCGCTATTAGTATCCTTTAAATGATAAATAGATATGATTGCGTCCAGTTACGAATTGTTTCGCGCGAGAGATTCATCGATTTTGGAGAATATAATCTTGTCATCTTTCAAAACCTGAGATTATCTCAGAAATCGCATAAAAAACTAAAATATAAACACACCAAGAAAAATCTCATGTTTACGAAGGTGTTATCTGTGTGATGAATTAATTAATATGTTAATTCTGTCGAACTGTTGCAAAATTTTCAATAATTTCGTTTTCTTTTTATCATAACTGTGATATGGCGTATTGATACATATTTACCGTGATTCACAATCACGTCTGCTTTCTGCCGATTTTCTTTATCAGTTACAAACGTTGTAAATAAGTATGTACAATGTGAAATAAATATTCTGATATTTATCATAAAAGTGACTTAAACATTTTTAAAGACATTTTACTGTCAATGCTGTGTCATTATGCTATCTTTATTTTTGGCCGCTGTTGTTTGATATTTTCTTAGGATACGTTTATTAGAATATAGTGTAGCTATAAGAGCGGCGATATGAGCGAAGCAGTGAAGATAATGGTATTGATTTCTATGTAAGTTTATATTGAAGTGGTGCGCAGAATGGAGTTTCGTAATTGATCATCGATAAAAGCACATCGAGAAGAAAAAAATTTGAATTTCTACACTATCATCGAGACTATAATCATGCTGTCCAGGGCCCTTATTCTGTAACTTTTAGCGATAGTTATAGTATCGTTATATTGCCGTTGCGTAGGTTTTATACATGATAAAAAAGTTGCGCAACAATTTAATAACATCGACACTGTCTTTAAGAACTAAATTTTTTCAGTGGTACTTTTATATTTTTTAAATTTTTCGATTATGTTTCGGTTACTTTGGTTTCAAGTTTTATTGCTTATTTTTTAATTTAAAATGTGTTTGACTCTTACTTTGCCCTTTATTTATTGTTATTTATTTTAAAGAGTCCTTTTATTTGTTAAATGTTTTATTGCTTATACTCTTTGTGTACCATGGCCCTAACATCAAGCCATAAAATATATTTTTCGTAATCCATAACAGTGTGTTTCCCTTTCACAATAATTTATCAGATCCAATAACTTAATAATACATCAAATAGATGCTCCCGTATACAAATCCCTTATACAATACACATAGATTATAGAAAGTCAATGGGCACGTTCAAGTTGACAAATCGGCTAGTTTGCTCACTGAGCAAATGAACATAATTAATTGTTACTTATAGATCCAATCAATCATATATACAATCGCTCGGTAAACATGCCTAGCTGCTTTGTCGTCTTGAACTCGCCTAATCTTTATTGAATTTGATAATACTTCATTCTATAGTATAGCAATATTTATTAGATGTATTCAGTATTCATCTCCTGCGATCGCAAAATTGTTATGTGTGATGTGTCTTTCTGCTTTTTTCATCTATAAAAATTACGACGGTAAATTATTTATTGTGGATAAATAATATATATAAGAACAAAGGAGAGGAGAGGAGATATTTGTTTATTAATATTCAATTGTCCAAAATTATTTGCGCCTCAAGTAGGAATGTATATACATGTGCTCGTGCTTATGTGTGCTTTGTGTGTGTGGGGGGGGGGAAGGCTACCAATTTCGCCACATTTCGCCAGGCCGCCGACTAATTTTGAATCATATGCTGATTAGTCAGAAACCTTATTTCTTCTGCATTACACAACTTGATCTGGTAATTTTTTAAAAAAAGCACAAATAAATTTCTTTCTCTTTCCTCTTAACTAAGTATATACATATATTAAGAATAGAACAACAAAAAATGAATATCATACATATTTTTAATAATATAATCATAATCAACGTGAGCATTCAAAACAATATATTCAGGAAATATCTATATAATTACAGTATATTCCTATTATGGAATCTTATGTGTATGTAAAATGTCTGTATTTCATATATACATAAAATCTTGTGTATGTGTGAACGTGTATGTATTTTAGTCTACATGTGTGTAATAAGAAAAATCTGTTGCTAGCAAAGCTTGCTCAGTCATGCTCGAATCAAGGATATTTATTACAAAAAAAATCCGAATGTATTTAATTTTAACTCTCCTTAATGTATTAAAATTCATACTAATTATTAATCACATCTACAAAACGCCTGTCGCACAATTGGAACATGGAAAGCATGTATAAATATAGTATATTACTTAATTTTCTCTTACATTTGTAATATATTACAAATGTATGCACATATGCGTAAATTCAGAATTGCATTAATAAATATAGCATTACATACTAATACCATAATATACTATATTTGTACATTGCATTGATTAGGGATTAATTCTTGGACATAAGCCTCGAATATATTTCCGGAAAACTCAACTTACAACATAGTCGACGTGACATTGCAGAGAAATCTCACGATTCATAGCGAAGCAGTCACGTGATTCATAGATACGACATGATCAGAGTGACGGGTAAAATGAGAATTTTCAGCTACCGCGATGCACTTGGTTTTGGTCACGTGGTTTCTGATATTTTCCTGGAGCGACTTTTCTTGTGTTTAGTCGATTCGGTTATTGCATCGTTATCCGATACAGATGATTCCTTGACCGATTTTCGGCCACGGCCAATGTTTCTCTCTTCGTTTTCCGAACCTAGCGATTCCCGATTCGACTTCCGGCGCTGACGCTGCGGTGGCTGATTTTGTGCTTCCATTATTTCGCGTAGATATTTCCTCTTCGCATCCCAAAACATTTGTTGTCGCTCGACGATTTCGGAATATCTACCGAATAAGAACGATTAATGCTAATTTCTAGGGTAATTCTAATAGCGATGAGTTCAATGAAAAAAAAAAAGATAAAAGTGAAATTGCATAGAATCGTTACTTGGAAATCAATTGGAGTAGCACTTTTTGAAGAACATCGAATTTGATTTTTTTTTAGAGAAATTAACGGAATGTAACGATTACCTCTTGCAGAAATCCCAGTTGAGTGGCTCTTTCAGTTGCCAACCTTTCCTCGATTCATATGTTCCAAGCTCCGCAAAAATTTGATTAATTTCTTCTGAAGGCAACTTGATCACGGACGAAATCGTTTTGCGATTAAGATATTGGTGTTCGGTAAATAATAATAACTAAAAGAAATACAAAAAAATATTTTATATAATTAACTTTTTTTTGTATATTTAAAGTTTTAGTTAAGCTTCTTGCACTTTCTTGAGTAACTTTGGCAAGTAAGCAACTTTGATTGCATAGATAATGTCTTAATAAAAAATATAACAAATATTCAATCAATGATTTCACAAAATTAAATATAGTAATAATCTAAATTGATATAAAAATAGTTGGAGTTTATTATATTTTAGTATAAGATTCGAAAATTCAGAAGCTAAGAGAAATAAAATTAGATTTCAGAACATAATTTTTCATTAATAAATTTTGAATACTCACAATATAATCACGTGTTCTGCACATGAATTCAGAAGTACTGTTTTGAGGAGAAAGGCTGTCTTTGGGATATATTAGTTCACTATTCACAATCCAGTTACCCTGCACCAGCATAGCTACTTGCTGCAAATACTTGAGTATTGTTATCGTATCCTGCTCTGGCGATAGAATTTCGCATAGCTTTGCAAAGGATATGATTCTCACTGTAAAAAATAGATTTGTTTCTATCAAATTCCTACGTGATATAAAAATCTGCTTAATTTATACAATAAACATTTATGCTAACACGTATAAAAAAATTGACTCTTATATTTTTGTAAATGTGTATCGTAAAAGACTAAAAAATATAAAATTTGTTTTTTAAACAAAAGTTTTATAATTTTATATTTTATATTAAATATATATGTATCTTTATATCTTCCTTTCTCTTTATCTCAAGTGTGATTTTCTCACCTTGTTTCATGATTTTCCTGATTTGGTCTAGCAAAGGCAAAGTCAAAATGTGATGGAGATCTGTCTGATCCTCGGAAGTGGATTGCAAATAGCACTCATCAGGTAACTGGGGTACCAACAGACGCAGATAATTTATCTGACCCAAATTCAGATTATTTGAATCTTCGGCCGACGAGCAGAACATCTCCATCCGTGTCGGCTGTAAAAACAAAAAGATATTTCAATATGTAAAAAAAAGTAATAATAACAGATTAAACGTATGCAAGAGTTTTTTTTACTGCATTTGAATACATCGATACATTAATTATATTTTCCTTTAAAAAAAAAAAATTATTAACTTCACGATTACATCGAGACAACTTACCTCAGCTTGCGCATCGTAAGCCGGTATGTAATTTGTATGCATCCAACGCTCCTCCTGGCTCTTTTTGTTGTGATGTTGGAAAGATTGCTCCTGCAGCTTCTTCAGGTTATCCGGCAGATGCCTAGCGAATGTTACCTTCACCGGAGTGGCATTATCTTCCTCCTCGTCGTCGTCTGCATTTTAGCAAATGAATTTGTGAGTGTTTCTCGTTCGCTTGTACCAAGCTCTGAAGGTTTAACACAGGCTATCTCGGTAAATATATTCATGTATAAATCAACAAGGAAAAATCCTCTTTTACCTTCTCCAGTGTTCTTCGTTCCATCCCTGGTATGCTTATCATTTTCGTCAAGATAATCGCACTGCAGCTTCATATGCAACATTGATTTTAATGGTGTGATGTGTAGCTCATCATCCTGAAAAATCCCGACTGCGAAATTTGAGCAGTCTGACAACGTCCGTTCTGAAGTCAATACAACCTTATCCATCAGTTCACTAATAAAAAAAATTTTTTTTTGTAAATGTAGATTAAAAAAAGTTTTATCAAAAGTTGTTCAAAATTTTGCAATTACTTATCAAACACTATTTCATCATTTTCTGTAGATTTTCCATCTGTTTTTAAAGCCAACTGTTTTCCCATATAGCAATCGTAAGAATGTTTATTCGATGTATCCATTGCAAGTTCCATACGAATTTTCTGGTTTTCGGGTTTAACGAAAGTCTTCAAGAAGGTAGCATTGGGATAATTATCTTTGACATATGCAGGATACTGAATAATAAATAATTTATCCGCCAAAGCCTTGGAAAGGTACACTGGTATCTACATAAACAATTTCTTTTATTGTTCTCACAGATGAAAAAGAAATATTAGATGTACAAATAAATAATCCACTATTTTTGGTAAAATTTCGTTTGAACATGAAAAAAGGCAAGCCATAGTATAAGTCATTTTTTACGTTCCGAAACACAACAGGATTATGTTCCGGGAGCACACTATCAGCTATCACTATTTGTGTCACACTATCCTTGTTTCACATCTAATAGACACTAAAGATAGAATGACA